AGAAAATTTCTCAAGTCTTCAAAAGGAGACAGCCATTCAGGTCCAGGAGGGTTTTAGAACACCCAACACTCAAGACCAGAAAAGAATAACTCCAAGCTGTATCATAATTAAAACATTAAGTGGACAGAACAATGAAAGAATATTGAATGGTATAAGACAGAAGCAGCAAGTCACATGTAAAGACAAACCATCCAGAATAACAGCAGATTTCTCAACAAAAACCTAAAAAGGAAGGTGGGAAAGGAATGGTGTATTTCAAGTAATGAAACAAAATTACTGCAAACCTATATTTCTAATTTCAGCAAAGCTATTATTCATCAATGAGGAAGAAAAAAAGCCTTTGATGATAAAACTGAAGTAATTTATGACCACTAAACTAGCACTGTAGAAGATACTCAAAGGAATCCTACCTACAGACGAGCAAGATAAATATAACCATGAAAATATGGGAAAATAATATCTATACAGATAAGTATATAAGCAAATGAAGAGTAGAGAAATATTAAACACTACAAAGACACAAAATGGTAGGAATCACTACATACCTCTCAATATTAAAGGTCTCAATTCTTCAATCAAAAGACATATAATAAAATGTTGAGTCAAAAAAGCCATACAAAACAATTTATTGCCTATAAAAAATGTATCTTACCTAAGAAAACAATCATTGGTTTGGTATGAATGAGTAGAAAATAATTTTCCAAGGAAATCAACTCCTAAAGCAGGCAGGATTAGCTATACTCTTACATGATAAAGCAAACTTCAATGCAAAATTTGTCAGAAAAGACAAAGAAAGTCACTTTGTATTACTAAAGGGAATAATCAATGAAAAAGAAATAAAAATTCTTAACATATATCCACCAAATATCACAGAAACCAACTTCATTAAACAAATACTACCGAACATAAAAGTACAGATAGATTCTGATACAATGATAGTGGGAAATTTCAGTACTCAACTCTCACCAATAGATTGGTCATCCAAACAATAAAATAAACAAAGAAACCTCAGACTGAAATGACACTATAAATCAAATGGATTCAACTGACGTCTACAGAATATTTCATCCAGCAACTACAAAACATACATTCTTCTTAGCAGTGCATGTCAATTTATCCCAAACTGATTATATCTTAGGAAGTGAAGCAGGTTATAGCACATATAAGAAAGCAGAAGCTGGTAGCTCACACCTGTAGTCCTAGCTACTTAAGGAGACACAGATCAGGAGGATCATGTTTCGAAGTCAGCCCAGGAAAATAGTTTGCGAGATGCTATCTCAAAAAAAAACCATCACAAAAGAGGGATGGTTGGGTGGTTCAAGGTGTAGGGTCTGAGTTCCAAACCCAGTATGTAGAAAAAAAAACAGAAATAGCTCCCTGAATCTTATTAGATCATTAGAGCATAAATCTAGAACTTAAAAGGAAAAGAAATTACAAAAAATATTCAAACACAGGAAGACTTAAGAACACATGGGTGAACGACCAGTGGATCACTGAAGAAATAAGGCAGGATAGCCAACAGTTGCTAGAAGCTAATGAAAATGAAACCACAAAGTACCAACAATCTTTGGCATATGCAAAGGCAGCACTAAATGAAAGTTTATAGCTAAGAGTACCTACACTAAAAGTACCAAAGATCTCAAAAATATAGTGTAATGATGCACATCAAGTTCCTAAATACCTGAAAAAGTCAAACACAAAATTGGCCAACAGAAAGGAATGATAAAAATTCAGGTATATGTTAAAGAACTACAGACCCCCTCAAACTTTACGAAGAATCTATGAAACAAGTTTATTTTTTGAAAATGTAAGTAAGATTGTTAAACTCTTAGTTAATCTGATGAAAATCTAGAGGTAAAGACACAAATTAATAAAATAAGCGAGAAATATTATCACAAAAATCATTGAAAACCCAAAGAAACTAAAGCAGAACTAAAGACCCTTGTAACAAAGAAAAGCCCAGGATCCAATGGGTTCACTGCAGATTCTAGAAGAATTTTGAAGAACTAATACCAATAGTCCTCAAACTTTTTTGGGAATTATAAAGGGAAGGAACTCTACCAAACTCATTCTATGACATCAGTATTGCTCTCATTATAAAGACAAGGACACATTTAAAAAAAAAAAGAAGGATAAACCAAATTATTTAATGAAGACACATGCAAAAATTTTCAATAAAATACATGCAACTGGTTTAAGCAACACATTTAGAAGGTCATACACCATGATCAGTTTGGTTTTATTCCAGAGATGCACAGAAATAGAAAAAAAATCTTGAAATACATATGGAAACACAGAAACTTCGAATAGCCAAAGCAATTCTGAGCAAACAGTACATTACTGGAGGCATCACAATTACTAACTTCAAAATACACTGCAGTGCCATAACAATAAAAACAGCATGGTTTTGGCACAGAAATGGACATGAAAAACAAAGGCTTAGAAAAGAAGACCCAGACTTAAACCTACACATCTACAGCTAACTGATCTTCAACAAAGGAGCCCAAAACACATAATGGAGAAACGCTTGTCTTCAACAAATGCTGCTGGGAAAACTGGATATCCACGTGGAGAAATCTGAAACTAGATCCCTATCTTTCATGCTGTACCAGAATCAGCTCAACATGGATTAAAGACCTTAATATAAGGCCTGAAACTTTGCAACAACTTTAGGTAGCAGTAGGAAATACACTGAATCAGATAGATAAAAGGAACAACTTCCTAAATAGAACTCAAAAGGGTCAGCATTGAAGAGAAGGAATACACAAATGAGACTGTATCAAACCAAAGAACTTCGGCACAGTAAAACAAACAGTTAACTTTACTCAAGAGACAGCCCACAGAATGGGAAATAATCTTTGCCAGCTTCTTATCTGATAAGGGATTTATATTTAGAATCTACAGGGAACACAAAACACCTCAACTCCTGAAGAATCCATATTCCAATGAAGAAATGTGCGCATGAACTAAATAGTGAATTCTCAAAGGAAAACGTACAAATTGCCAGTAAATACATGAAGTGTTCAAATTCCCTGGGATGTTAATCAAACCAATGCTTAGAATAAATCTCACTACACTTAGAATGGACATATTCAAGGGCAATAACAATGACAGATGCTGGCGAGGATATAGCAAAACAAGAACTCTTATACACTATTGGTGGTAATGCAAATTAGTACAACCATTATTAAAAGCAATATGAAGATTCCTCAAAAAGCTAGAGAATTGCCATATAATTCAGTGATTCCACTCTTGGGCATCTACCCAAAGGAACGTATGTTGGATACAATAGGCACACCTGTACACCGATGTTCATCACAGCACTATTCACATTTCCAAGCTTTGGAAACATCCCAGGTGCCCCGAGATAATGAATGGATCAAGAAAATGTGGTACACATACACAATGGAGTTTTATTCAGCCATGAGGATTAATGATATGTGGTTTGAAGTTAAATGAATGCAGTTGGAGGACGTCTTGTTAAGTGAGGTAAACCAGGCTCAGGAAAACAAACAGTGCATGTTTTCTCTTGTATATGGAAGACAGATCCAAAAGATAAATATATACACAAAAATAATCATGATCCTATCAAAACTCATATGTAGAACAGATTTGAAATACTGGAACTACTCTATGGAACTCGGGGAATGATGCAAAGGAAAAGAGAATAATGGAGCATCAATAATATCGTAAAACATACAGTCTGTGCAGGTAGAGGATATAAGAATTTGTATTTAAAGCTGTTGAAATTGAGGAAAAGTGATAAGAGAGAGTAATAGAGAGAGCTCAAAAGAATAAACTGAAGTATAACCAAAGTGGGGACACATCGAGAAACTCCTATGAACATTGACTTGAATATTAACAATGAAAGACAGGACTATAAAATAGCTACAGTGTGTGGGGGGCACTAGGGGGAAGGGGGAGGGCAAATGAAGGAGATTAATGTGAGAATGTACAGTTAATGAATTTCGTATAACCATATGAAATAGAACAAAGAAACCTCTTGCAATTGCTTTAAGTGGGGGTGGGAAGGGGGGTTGAGGGGGAAAGACGATGGGGGTGATGTAACTAATGTACAACATAAACCTAATTGGAATTGTCACTATGAATCCTCTCTTACATAATGAATATATACTAATTAAAAATTATAAAGAAATTCTTAATAAAATATAAGCAACTGATTTAAACAACACATTTAGAAGATTATACACCACGATCAACTTGTTTTTATTCCAGGGATGCAAGGATGGTTCAATATATGTAAATCAGTAAATACAATACTGCATATAAACAAAATCAAGATTAAAAAAAATCACACGATTATCTCAATTGATGCACAAAATGTGTTTGATAAAATTCATCATCGGAATTGAGAGTAAGGTATGCGGCAAGGCAGTACAGCCAAAGAGCTGTACTGTTGTATTTAAGGAGTTTATTTCCTTGATATGGTAGATTCCATCAATTTTGTACTAACACTGTATCCCTTTGGGAGTATTTTTATTTATACCTGATGGAATAGGGCTGTAATAAGAGAATTGGGGTATCTCCAAATTCTGTAAGAAAAGACTGGTTCCCTGTTGCCTAATGCCTCTGTTCTGTACTTTTCCCTGGCATCTTCTGGGAAAAGGGACTGAGGAAATACTTCTGTCTTCATTCATATGATGATGAATCTTTGGAAAGGAATATTCTTTCTAATCATTTAGCAGCTACACGAATCACTGTTAATCCTTTGCATACTGGGTATTGTGCAGCTTTAATGTTAACTTATTGCCATTTTGATAGTGTTATTTCTGAATTAGTTTGAATAACAAAATAGTAACTTATCAGAAGCAAACATATCCTATTTCTTTTAGTATCTGCCAACAGAATGAAGTGTACTGAAGACAAATAGTGCTTAACCAAAGTTCAAAGACTTTGTGTCTGTTTGGTGATCAGAGTGCACAGTATTTATAGAATTGTTGAAGACTAAGTTTTCAATTGCACTTACACAAAGTGTATCAATGGATCTCTTCATCATCCTGGGGATTGGTCTTTCTTGTTTGATTCTTTTTTCTCTGTGGAGCAAATGCTATGTTAAACAGAAGCTCCCACCTGGCCCAATTCCTTTCCCAATTGTTGGAAATATCATACAGTTAAATTCTAAGAATATCAGCACATCCTTAAGCATGGTAAGTATATTAAATTTCTTTCAGTTGTATGTAATGAGCCTTAGAGCTCACTAGTGCATGGATACAAACACGGATGGATTTAATTGCCACACAGAAGTGATTTAGAATGTACATGTCATTAGAGTTTGAAAGCAGAAGCATGAATTTAGGTGTCTTAACTTGCTAGGTTTGGCTACCAATCCCAGAATAAAAACAGGCAAAATCAGTAGTGAAAAATAAAACTGTATTTTAATTTCACTGTTTTCAAGGAAAGACAGATGTAAGGGTTGTCTTTGGGTGACAATAGCAGTCTAGGAGTTGTATAAAGGAGAAAAGGCAAGGGAAAGCTTTGGAGGGGTTTGACAAAAATACAGTCATCTTGTGATTGCTGCTTGGGATCTGGGGGAAAATCTTCATGTGGTAAGAAGGAAATTGAATCTAGTTGCTGTTCAAGAGGTTGCTACTGCTCAGGCATAATTTCTATTTGCTTCACAGATGTCTTGTGTATCAGTCCTGTATCCTAGAAAGGGGTGATTTGTTTCCATGAGATGGCTATTCTTATTCCTAGTCCATCCCCATTATGCTTGCAAGGCATCACTGTTCCTGGAAGGTGTAGGGCAATGACTGATGACATCTACGTGTCATTCTAGAGGGTGTGGAATGGGAAGTTGGAAATGTGTTTGTAAATCTTGAGAATACCTTAGTACCTTTGTGTCTTGAACATGGCAACATGCAGAATTGAGCAGGTATCTCACCCAAAGTTTAAAGGAGACATAGAAAATGAAGGTAGAGATGTCAAGTTTTATCCATTTTTGAATCTATTTGAATCTGAGGCCCAAGTGAAGAATGAAGGGATTTTATCTGTATATTTTTAGCAACCTTTATCCGTAAGTACCTGGTACACATAGAGATATGAGAAGGTGAGATCCATGAGAGAGAAGATTATTGAAATGATGAGAACAGGCCTTCTTTGTCTACATTATGATGTATGTCCCTTTTGTAATAATTATGCTCTTTTGAGCTATACTGGAAATGAAATTGTTCTTAGTATTAAACAAGCTACTGACTGACTGAGGCTCCAGAATAAATTTTTGTAAAGCACAGCCTGATTCCAAATCAATGACATGACTAGTCTGGAGATGTAGCTCCGTGGTAGAGCACTTGCCTAGGCCTGGATTCCATCCCCAACTCCACAGACACAAAAAGAAGACATAGCTAGTACTTTGAAATTTTGACATTTTCTATTGTACATACTGAATGAATGCAATAAGTACTATACTCCAATTTATTTACACAGTGGTAGTGCTCTGAAGCCTGTAGAATAATCAGAAATCTGCCTTTTCCCTAGAAAAGGAAAGTATTTGCTAGAATACTGCCCCTGGAAGCTCCTGTTTCCTGTGCTTTGAGGTATACTTAAAGGAAATGGTGTCAGCCTCTCAGGTTAACCATTTGCCTATTCACAGCTTTGGACATGTTGTCAATCTCTCCTACTTTAAGAGGTAAATAATACTGGTTTTTCAAAGGTTACTTGAGTATACCATGAACTCAACAGTAATTAAATGACTACTTTGGATTAAACACTCAGTTAGGTGCTTGTATGGGATTTTAATAGTGAATAAAAATTTTAAAATACCCTAGAACTTAAAAGCTGGTGAGTAGGCATATATGACCAGGCAGCCATGTTCTCATGTGTTATTAATACATACAGTTTGTTAGTGCTAAAAGGATGATGAGGAGGATAATGATAGGTGATTATTAGTCTACACCTAGGGTAAGTGGGAGGGAATGCCCTTTAACAGGATAAGGAAGACATCATTTATTGTAAGACTAGGCAGGAAGAAAAAATTAAAGCAATTATATGTTGGCTGGAAATGTTAATGAAATAATATGGACAATAGCAAAATACAATGTTTGTCACATAGCAGGATCCGCATAAAAATCATCATAATAGCAATATAAGGAATAATATGATGACAATTACCTTTTTTATGTATTTTCTTATTAAATTTCTGGGTCTAAAAGTTGAATTCTTTCATAATGTTTGGATGAATATGAAAATGTCTCTCCAGTAAGATTAAATCAAACACATTTCCCTTATTTATGAACATTTCTGTTTTGAAACCCTCTTTTCTTGCATCTCTTGCTCATTTTCCAGCTAGCAAAAGAATATGGTCCTGTGTTCACTTTGTATTTTGGAATGAAGCCCACTGTGGTATTGCATGGATATGAAGCAGTGAAGGAAGCCCTGATTGACCGAGCAGAGGAGTTTTCTGGCAGAGGGAGTTTCCCAGTGATTGACAAAATCTCTCAAGGATTAGGTATGCTTCTTTTGGGGGAATGCCCATGGGATTATAAGTTAAAAATACCCCAAATATTAAAAGAAATTAGAACATTTGTGGGTGGGGTGCTTGTATCATGTTGTTCACAATTCCAAAATAATGTCACGAATAATTTTTTTGAATTGTGTTAAATTTGGGAACCAAAACGTATTTGGAATATTTATAGAGTTGTCTTCAAACCTCCTTCTATTTATTTAAAAATACCTTAGAAATATTAGAAGCCAATAGAATATAAAGAATAAAGCACAAGTATGCTCTGAAAAGAGGATAATGGAGAAACACAGAGATTATGCACTTGATTGATAGTGGAAAAGATGTTTAAAATTAGTGCAGTTGCTCCTTGATTTACATGACTGTAAACACAGCTGAAATTAAGATATTCCAAATCAATAATGCATTTAATGTCACCCAAACTTCATAGTCTAGAAAAACAACACACTTTATAATGGTGCTTGGTTAACTCATGAATGCTTGGCTGACTGGGAGCCTTGATTCACTGGAGCTGTCCAGGATTAGAAAAGAATATGATTATAGGTCAACCTTGGTAAGCATTAAAATTCAAACTTTGTTTTATAGGTCCTATTAAATAAGTATTCTTTTTGTACTGTTGCAAAGAAAAAAATCAGAATTTGAACCACCTTTTAAATTCAGGACCATATATATTTGAACTTTTTATGTTTGGAGCTGACTTTAAGAGATCCATTCTTCTGGTAGGTCACTAAGTTCTGCTAAGTAGACTTCCTAATAGAATCTTCGTGGGTGTGAAGACTGTATTTCACGGAAGAGTTTAAATAAGTAGAAGTGAGTATGTAAATGTGATGAGCTATTTGTCAATAACTAAATAAGTATATCCTTTCATTGAAAAATATATTGTCATAAGATTCCTTCCAGTTCAGAGGGCAGAAGACTTATATCCTCTCCTCTCTCTTTCTCTGTCTCTTTCTTTCCCTTACTTCCTCTTCTATCGTCCCTCCCCACCTATATTCTTCTTCTCCCTGCCTCTTCCCTGCCCTTCTCCCCGCTCTCTCCATTCTTCTCCTCCCACTATTCTTGTGGTGCTAGGAATTGAATCTAAGACCTTGCAAACAATAAGCAAACTCTCCAGCACCCAGTTATATCATCATTCCCCACTTCCTGTGAGAATTGCCTTGTCCTGATGACTATTCTAAAATTCAAATATAATAAGAAAATTGAGCCATGAAAAGTTAAGTTATGATGTGGACTCACCTGGATATCAGCTATAGTCACACATTTTACTTCCAAATGAAGATTATTTGAAGATCATTACTCCAAGGATTATCTTCAACAAATTTGTCAGTGAAATAGCAGGGAAGGCACTATAGTCACAGAATAGTTCTGAGGTTTTGGGGAGCTAATAAGAGAAGATGAGTTTTATAATGTAAAAATTCAAGAGTCTCAGTTATAAAATACTAGTCTGGGTTAAGAGAAGTTGAAGGTGAGGCGGGAGACAATGGGAAATACTAAAGGATGCACTCAACAGCAACTCATGACAATAGAGGATATGCCTTTGCCTTTTCTTGTTCTTCTAGGTGTTGTTTTCAGCAATGGAGATAGATGGAAGCAAACCCGGCGCTTCTCTCTCATGGTTTTGAGAAATATGGGGATGGGGAGGAAAACTGTAGAAGAGCAAATTCAAGAGGAAGCCTTGTGTCTGGTGGATGCCATCAAAAAAACCAACGGTGCATTTTACTTACATAAGTAACAGTAATATTTATGTTGTACTAAATTACATTACAAATAGATTTAAAGACAGACTATAGAGTCTCAAGCACAACAGAAGTTTATTTTTGTTCCCATAATATTTGTAAAAGGTGAAGTATTTGGCATAACAGTCTTTTCAGGGACCAGATTGACAAACATTTTATGTCTTCACCATTTGGCTGTCAGTATCATGCAAAGGATGAGCCACAGTCTTTGTGTGGTAGTGGAGGAAGAAAAGACCAAGGAAATAAGTGACAGAGAAAATTTATTCCATATTCCTAGGGCTCTGCCTTTGTACCTGGGTAAAACCTAGTTGTAAGATGAACCAGAAAATGTTATGAGCTATGTACACAAGAAGAAGAAAAGACATGGGTATTGATATTCAGCCAGTAGTCTTGGGCATATTAATGTAGAAACATAATAAATTCTTGGCAAACAATAATGGGGCCACCAAATTCTTCCAATACTAGGGTATAATTTGCATCATATGAAAGAGTGTAGTAGTAAAGTGAGGGAACTGACAAGCACAATTTTCAATGTGTAGATGTGTTTATGCACATGTGGGATAGGAGAAAGACTGGGCAGGAGAACAGGTAGGAAGGTATGAGATCAGGATTATAAGAGATATGTGGTTTTAGGGCATCAATATCTAAATATTTTAAAGAAAAATTTTCACATTACTTTATTCTCTATGGTGAATTGCTATTGTGTTCTTATATCCAACATTATTTAGCTGTCCATATAGGATTTTCCCATATTTTTGCTATTAATATAAAATGTATTTATTGCAGACATTTGCTTAATCTTTTGTCAACCCTAAAATAAATTTCTGGAAATGAAATAAGAATGTCAAGGGACATAACTTATGCAATCATATTACATAGGAATGGGTCAGCGGTTTGGCAGATGAGGGATAAGCACGTGATTAAATTTGGTGTATATTTTTTGAAAACTTATTTTTGAATGCAACATATTGATTATTCTCATGAATACAACTTTTGAAAGTTTTTCAAAAACTGTTTTAACATAAGAGTATTGCATTCCATTATTTTTGATGTAACATTTTATGTAACTTGTGCTCTACTTTTGGCCTGATGGATTTTTTTTCAATCTTCCATGTTATTAATATAAAAATGAAATCCTTATAAATCTTTGCATGTCTCAGACTACTTTCTTAGGACAAAGTTGTGGGAATAAAATTATTAAAGACATATCTGTTGGAGATAAATATATTATATACAAGTGATTTTTAAGCTTAATTTACAATTTATATTTATATTTTTTACCATGCTCAACTTATACATAATGAGTATGGCCTTCTGTTCTTCTTAACCTATTTTCCCTAACACTTTGATTAGTTCTCCCTTGCTATGAGGTCCTCACATAGTTGGGAATGCCCATTTCATTGTCTTTCACAGATTGGCCAGAATTTTTTACTGTTGTTTTTTTAAATTTTCTTTTTTAACATTATTGTTGTATTGGGGGTACATTGTCACATTTTTGCATGGTCTTAAAATATATCATAGCTGAATTTACCCCCTCCTTCATTCTCCTTTGTCTCTCCACATAAATTCCTGGAATAGCTTCAACAGGTCTCACTTCTCATTTACATGCATGTGTATACAGTATTTGCAAAATATTCACACTCCTACACTCATTCTTCACATTCTCTCCTGTCTGACTTATACACACCCCTCCAGACATGACCTGTTCTGTGCTCCTATTCTGTGATTTTGTAAAAAAAAAATGACATTTTTGTTTACTTAAGATTTGTGACATTTTCATATATATATGTATTGTAAGCCAAATTGTTTCATGTCCTCTATTTTTCTCCTGTCTACCTTATGGTCCCCTTCTTGTGGTGATATCAACAGGCTTAACATCTCTGTATTCATTCTTGTATAGAAAGTACATTAACCATCATATAGAAAGGACCATATTCGCCATCAGAAATTCCTTCTTTTACACTTTTACTCCTGTTAGTGACCTCCCCTTAGCATGACCTGTTTTCATAATATTGCTTGCATTTATATTTGGCCTATATTGCAAATATGAGCAAGTACATGTGACCTTTGGCTTTCTGAACCTAGTTAACTTCAGTTAAGATGATGTTCTCCAGTTCCATCCATTTATCTGCAAATGACAAATGTTCATTCTTTATGGCTCAATAGAAGTCCATTGTATTTAAATGCCATATTTTCTTAACCAATTCATCAGTAGTGGGGCTAGTTTAGCTATTGTTAATAGTGCTCCAATAAACATGGGTATATAGGACAATTATTTCAAACTGACTTACATTTCTTGGGGTATATCCCTGGGAGTGGCATTGCTGGATCATATGGCAGATCTACTTTTGTTTTTTAAGGAGCCTCAGTACTGTTTTCCATAGTGGTTGCAATAGCTTACATTCCCACCAGCAGTGTATGAGGGATCTTCTTTCTCAACATCCTTAACAATATCGTTGTTGTTTCTGTTCTTGATGATAGCCATTCTAACAAGAGTGAGGTACAATCTTAAAGTGGTTTTGATTTACATTTCCAGTATGGCCAGGGATGTTGAACATTTCTTCATGTGTTTTTTTTTTCCTTTTGGATTTATTATTTTGAAAACACTCTGTTCAGTTCATTATACCACTGCTTCATTGGGTCATTGATTTTGGGGGAGTTTAATTTTCTGAACTCCCCACATATTCTGGTTGTTAATCCCTTGTCAGGTGTATAGCTGGCAAAGATTTTCCTCCCGTTTTGTTTGCTGATCATCAATCTGGTTACTGTATCTTTTGTTGTATATTAGCTTTTTATTTCTGTGTAGTCCTTTTTGTCAATGCTTCTCTTAGTTCTTGAGCCATTGAACTTCTATTTAGGAAATTGCTGCCTATGCTATTAGTTCCAGTGTATTCCCTGGTCTTCCTGTATTAGCTTCAGTGTTTCAGGTTTTATATTAAGGTTTTAATCCATTTTGATTTGATACTTGTTTATGGTGAAAGACATGGATCTAGTTTCAGTTTTCTGCAGGAAGATGTCCAGTTTTTCTACATTTTTTGAAAAGGCTGTCTTTTCTCCATTGTTTGATTTAGGCACCTCTGTCAAAAATCTGGTAGGTATAGTTAGGTGGCTTCATTCTGTGTCTTGTGTCCTGTTACACATGTCTTCTTGTCTGTTTTTGTGCTAGTATCATGCTGATTTTATTCATATTGCTCTGTAGTATAGTTTGAAATTGGGTATTGGGGTACCTTCAGCATTGCTGTTTTTGCTCAATATTGTCTTTGCTATTGAATCATCTAGTTATTTCATTCTTGAGTCACAATATTTTAGCTGTCACTGCTTTTAATTAAAATGCAGAGGTCAAGAATGATGATTCCACACAATTTAATTGGATATGAAACGTTTAACACACACAGTACTTACTAGAAGGCAGCCTGACTCCCAAACAAGCCCAAAAATGGGGGGTGGGAGAGCAGGACAATGTTATTGTCTTGAGATTCTTGTGTGGTAAGTAGGTGGGGCCAGGATGAGGGTCCCCTGTGTAGTCCTGGAACTGCAGGAGTGAACTTCTTGCTGTGCTGAAATCAAGAACATTTGTGCTTTTGTAAATTTTAATTGCGTATTTTTTGTTGGTATTGGAGTTTGAACTCAGGACTTGCGCTTTATAAGCATTTGCTCTATCACTTAACCCACACCCACAGCCTCTTTGTTGAGATATATTTGAGTTGTCTCATATTTATGCTTAGGACAGCCTAGAGTAGGATCCTCCTATTTATTTTTCCTGAGTAACTGGGATGACAGGCGAACACCATCAAGCTGAGGTTTGATTGGTCGACATAGGGTTTTGTGAATCAGCTAGCCTTGAATCAGTAACCTCCTGATCAGTGCCTCATAGAGTAGCAATTGGGCTTTTTAATCCTCTTTTCTACATGCTAGTCAAAGGGGAAGGACAAGCATTGAGGCTGAAAAGCTACCAGTATTCTAACATCCAAAAATAGAGTCACGCTCTTTATTTCACATAGGAAGCCAGTTCCCAAAGCTACAGCATATTTTTCAGATATCTTAGTATAATTCCAGTTTCTCTATCATTCTCGTCTTTAAGAAAAATGAAATAGATCATTTTGACTGTGTTCTGTTAAACGTATTTTCAAGTTTCCTCAGTCTTTTCAGTTTTTAAAAAAAATATATTGCTAAGATTTCTATGAGCTCTATTGGAAATTGTCTATACTGAGATTTAAATTAAACACATTTAAAGACATTATAAATGCCTCTATTCATGTGTTTTCTCTTGTGAATTAGGAGATTTGAAGTATAATGAACACAGTGGATAATTCACAGAGAAATTAATAAATTACCTACTGTAAATTGGACACTTTTGTTTGGAAAAACATAGTAAACATTTAAGCCTTGTAGTGTTTATAGAAAGAAAGACATTGCTAGATACCTCACCTTCCCAATTATTGTAAATAGTAAATTTAAGATTTGTGTGAGAGTTGTACATTAACTTCTAACTTCCATTGTTCTGTAGGATCTCCCTGTGATCCTAGTTTTCTTTTGGCCTGTGTTCCCTGCAATGTGATCTCCTCAATCATTTTCCAGAATCGTTTTGACTATGATGATAAGAAATTATACAGCTTGATTGAATACTTTCATGATAATATCAGAATTTTAAGCACTCATTGGATATTGGTAAGGCCCAGTTTTACTCAAATGTGATATTGTTAATTGACCCAAGTTCATCTATCTCACTACTCTAATGCTAACACATGGGAGAAGAGAGTTGGTAAGAAGGAAATTAAGTTTATTCAAGTGCTGGCATCGGGAGAAGATGTCAAGAAGCTATCATCCTTTAAAAAATGAAAAAAGAAACCATTTTAGGAAATTGATGTATGTGTAAGGGCATTTTTGGGGAGGAAGGAGAGTAGTTGAATGGTAGTTAAGAAGACTGTGTGCTGAGTTGTGCATTCACCTAAGATAACAATTTCTATTACTTGGAGGATGTTTTTACTTTTATTTTTAAATTTTTAGAGGAATGTACTTGAGATAAAAACTAATGACCTTGTTTCCACACTTGTTAATGTAATTCTGGAAATTATGTACTGATCCACTTTTAATTAAAGATCAATATTAAAAAGTCCTTACTGTAAGCATTGACATTATCTGAAGACCTTCAAGTATTCTTGAATCTAAAAACTGAAGAAAGATTACTGATTAGGAGCTCTTAGGTCCAGTGGTTTTCCTGCTCCTTTTTCCTGCTGTATCTGACTCTGGCAGTTCAGATCTCTGCCTTTTAAAACTGGATTTGTACCTGATATGGGTGTGCACACCAGAAATGCCAACTACTTTGGAAGCTGAGTCAGGAGGATTGAGAATTTTAGGTCAACCAGTATTGCTTGGTGAGATTTCTCACTTCAATAAAGAAATAAAGAGATAAAAACATAAATAAATGTAGACAGATTTTGTATCCATGAACAAGGGGAAAATCTCGCTTTATAAAGGGCAGTTTGCAACACAGTGTTAACCTAGTTAAGGGTGATACATGAAAAAATAGCTTAGCTAATATCACTGCTACAGTTCCCTTATATTAGTTTTTAAGATACAGAGTGGGAGGAGAGCAAAAGGAAACTTTTGCAGAGTACTTTTAACAGGCAAGGCAGCTCCAATCAGACATATTGCCTATTGCACAGATAGTGGAAGAATAAACATACGTTGGTTGTAACCTGCAAAAAAAATTTTTTTTTGAGGCAGGGTCACACATTGTAGAACAGGCTGGCTTCTCAATCCTGATTTTCCTGTCTCTGCCTTCACAGTGCTCAGATTAAAAGCATGAGCCACCAAGCCTGGCAAAAGTTAGAAATTTTTAAAGTAAACTAAAAACTTGAACACCAGAGGGGTTCTATGCTTTTAGCATTTTCTTTCATTACAAAATAATTTTGTAGTTGATTTATTTCTCATTCCTACCTCATTCCTTTACCCTAGTAAAATTGGTCCAAATGAAATTAATCACAAAATCATTTGGAACCCGTTAGGTCCTTAATGTTTCAAGTGAAATTTACAGCATTAAATAGAATAAGAAGACCTATAGCATCTGTGTACTTCTTTTAAGGAAAGAAGTTTGTTCTTGAAATTCCTTCTTCCAATTTTTTTTATATTTACTGTTTGATGGTATAGGACGTACTTATTATTGTGGCACAGTCTCAGAACATGTTATTAACCCATGTTGTACAAATTTTGACAACTAAAATTCAGTATATGTTCTAAAGTCATGATGTGTTTCACCTGGGAAGGACTCCAGAGAGCAAACGTTTTTTCCTTCATGTTTTTGGAAAAGATATCAAACCTCAGACGTATTAGGCACAGTTTTACAAAATAGTTTATCAAGACAATCTGTTAGTTAGACCTAGAATATAGGTTTCTTGATTCTGTATCTAATTTTATTCAAACTTTTAAAATGAGTAACTTCTTTGCTGCTCTGCCTGATGCAAGGTCAGAGAACTCTGGGACTAACAAGACCAATGAATCAGTTAAATGTGTATATTCCTAAGGGAAGCAAATTCCTTGACACAGGTATGATAATTTATTTGGGAACTTCCTTAGTCCTTATGATGCACTGTTTCTTGATTAAGAGTTTCAGGCCTGGCAATTTTTATTTGACTCTGGACACATATGTGTAGTGAAACTGGCCAGAACTCTGGCTGCTAGCATTGATATCACTATTTTGGTTGTTTCGAATTGTAAAATAGCTGACTCAATGTTCTCATCAGAAAACAGGTGGCAGTAGGCTAAATTTCCTTAGAGTGCTGTGGTTGAGGAATCAATGTAAGTGGCACTGAAATTGCTTCATTAGATGTACAAATGGTGACTGATCAATTTCTCAGTGCCCTGATCTTCAAATTCTGAGTAAGTATTAGTGCAGGAGCTGTTGTATCCATCTTTACACAGCATCTAACAAAGTTTCTGACACCTAAAGATGTCTTTAAGTGTTTAGCAAATAAGTTTATAAGATTTTTTCCTCTTTCAGCTCTACAACACCTTTCCTATTTTACATTACCTCCCAGGAAGTCATAATGAATTATTTAAAAACTTTGCTGGCCAAAAAGAGTTTATTTTGGAGAAAGTAAAGGAACATCAAGACTCTCTGGACCCCAATAACCCTCGGGACTTTATTGACTATTTCTTGATTAGAATGGAAAAGGTATGATGAGACCTGACTTGTTACCATATGTGGTAGGTTATGTGACTCATAGATTGTCTTTGTTTTTTATGGCTAAACAAGGATATTTAAACACATTTTTCTTCTTTACAATATACACATTGCTTATGTTAACATTTGTTTAGGTAAACATACAGTGAACATGTCTGGCATACTATTAAATAATGAATGATCCAAGAATTAGAAGTAGTTGAATAATTATATGTATACATATATGTATGTGTATATAGTTGTATAATTTTTTGGTACTACAGCAGTTTGAACTCAGGATCTTGTGCTTGCCTGGTAGATGTTTTACCACTTAAACTATGCCTCATTTTCTTTTTGCTTTGGATATTGTCTGGAATAGGGTCTTGCATTTATGTCCAGGCCAGCCTGGACTGAGATTCTCCTATTTATGGTTACTGCAAGGATGGATGGTAGATGTGTGCTACCACACAAAGCTTTTATAGGTTGATAAGGAATCTCACTAACATTTAGCCTGGGCTGGCATGAAACTCAGTCCACCAAAGTTCTACCTCCTGAGCAAGAGCTTTTGCATTTTAAAGATGATTCTTTTTTTGAGTCAGACTGAAGCACAAAGACATCATTCAAGATTGATAATAATATGTCATTGCATATAAAATAAACTCCATGAATGGAAGATATAACAAGTTAGTGGGACTCAGGAATGGATAGAAATCTGCAGCGGTTCACTTCGTGGAGCACCTAGGGAGCCTTCACAGTTGAGGCTGGTTTTGAGGAAACAATGGCTGTGATCAAGAACGAGGATAAAATAGTTTCAGGGAATATTAATTGTGATCAAGTACTTGGAAATTTTGGTCTTCATTTTATTTGAGGTACAGTGATGAGTATGATGACTGATGAAGTTGAAAATAGTGAAAAAGTTTGGGGATGTGTCATACTGGATGCTCAGATGGAAAATTTAGGTATGATAAAATAGACAACAGACACTAGGTTGACAGTGAGTATCAATGAATTATTTAATATAATTAATGTTTGGAAAAAATTTCAGAGGACCTGATTTGTTCCAGTGTGTGAAAGGGTATGGAATCCGAAAGAACTTGGATACTTTAACTCTTAGTGTATGTTTTCATTGTGAAGAATTCTAATAGTCATTTCACTTTATCTCCTGCTACGGTATTCTGTAATGCTTACCTTAATTTACCAAATGCTGTTGCTATATTGATTTATTTTAAGGTCTCTGTGAGAGTTTTTGTTAAGCAAGTAAATTTCACACATTGTTTCTAGGAAAAACACAATAAAAAGTCTGAATTTACTATGGAAAATCTCATCATTACCATATGGGATATGTTCAGTGCCGGAATAGATACAACAAGTACCACAATGAGATATGGACTTTTGCTCTTGTTGAAGCATCCAGAGATCTCAGGTATGATCACAGATGATGGACAGATGAAAAGTCCAGTTAGAAACTGGTAGACAGGACAGATAAAAATTCTACCCTTTATCTACCTAGATAAGATAGAAAGAAAATTTCATCATTACTATATTTGCCTTTCTTTTAATGAATTCAATTTAAATTTCTTCAAATTAAAAAAATAAGAGAATGAAATATTTAAAGAACTGCAGAGATTTTAAGGCAGTGGTCAGTATATTCCCTGCTATAATGAATATCCTTGATTTGGCTTGGGGCAGATGGATTAACCCTTGCTTTGAAATATAGACAGAATTATGCTTTTTTCTTTCTTTCTCTTTGTGTCTTCTTTGTCAAAATAAATAGGTAATTGTCAAAAGATTTTTTTGTTAGTGCTGAGGCTTCAACTTCAGTACCTCATGCATGCTCAGCAGGCACTCTGTTACTGAGCTACATCTCCACTTACCCTCAAATCTGTTTCTGCTCAATTCAATTAGCACTGTAACAATTTATTTGAGAAAATTGTGATATTCCTATATAAAGAAGACTAGGTCTCCAAAAGAAGGTATTATACCCCAAACAAAAAAAATTTCTAATATGTTCTCTTTTTGTTATTGCTATAGATTAAATCAAGTACAATGTATATGACAGGCCAGTACTCTACCATTAGGTACATTTCGAATACCTAGTTCTTTTTTTTCTTTATTCATATATTCATATGTGTATACATTGTTTGGGTCATTTCTCCCCTCGACCCTCACCCCCTTCCTTTACCCGACCATCTTCACTTGCAGGCAAAATCTGTTCTGCCCTTTTCTCCAATTTTGTTGAAGAGAAGACATAAGCAATAATAAGAAGGACAAAGCATTTTTGCTAGTTGAGATAAGGATAGCTATACAGAGAGATTACTAGCATTACTTCCATGTTTAATACCTAGTTCTGAAACAGGGTCTCTCTCTGTAGCTCAGACTAAGTAATTAATTTAAGATGTACTGTGAGCTGACCTCAAATTTACATTCACTCTGACTCAGCCTCCTGATGCTGATTACAAGTTTGCAGCACCCAGTTTTCTGCTCAGCATAACTTCTCACACAATGTAACTTTTTTTCTACCATTTTTATTGTGTTTTTCTTTTGAGGTCATTTCTTTCACCTCTAAATTATGTTTTGTGTTTTAAGGTGTTTTAAGTTGTTTAAAAGGGTTTATACTTCATAAGATTTATGCTATGATATCACCCACAAAATTTCTACTTTAAGGTCCTTCTGCTCTATGATTTTAATCAAGAGATTACTTATGAATAGTATAATATAACAACATAGCTTTCAAGTGCCTTTGATTCTAAACATTGTGAAATGTTTGACACATACTTTGCAACATAACCTCACTAACTTTTATAAGTCTATGTTGATTAAGAGCACAGGCTGTATATATTTTATCAATATTTAAACTTTGTGTACATTTCACAAAGTCTTCTTGTGATATTTCTCCACTTTCACTATCATTTTCCTTTTTCATTTTTTCTTATACTGCATCTGTATTCATTTTACTATTCTTCCTTCCCAGATCATTATATACTGTGCCATTTTACTAAAAATTCTGATTTAATACGTAGTTGCTGGCCACTTTTTATTGACCATTATCTTCTAGAAGAAACTTACCTTCAACATGTGAAACTCTTTTTCTTATTTCCTCTTCCTCCTTCTTTTACCCCTCCTCCACCTGCTATTCCTTCTCCTGGTCCTTGAATTCCTCCTTCTGCTCATTTACAGGATCTCCTATGTAGCCTGGGCTGAACACAATTTGTGATTCTTCTACCTCAGAGTCTTTTGTTCTGGTATTATAGGAGAGTGCACCTACACACAGCTCCTGATTCTTCTTACAACTATCAAGTTATAGAATTTTTGCATGCTCCATTACTAAGTGATTCATGTAGTAAATATATACTATTTGACATTAGTATCAAATAAGAATTGTCAATTTGGAAAATGGGTGACAGATTTTAATAGTATTGGCTTTAAATTCCTACTTCAGTATTATATACCTGTGTGACCATAACCACCTGACTACCTCTCAATTGCTCAGATCCCTTTTTTCTTCCAGGTGAATAATATAGGAAAGACCACTCTTTACTTCGGAGTCCTTAGGAAATGTATTTCCTTCTTTCTACTCATTTCTTTGTAAACCACAAAAAATTATACCAAACACTTACAATACTTTAGAGGAAATATAAATTAGTATAATGAATAGTGTAGTATATCAGGCATAAAAATATGTTGTTTTCTTCTTGTTCACCTGTGGTGTATCAACTAAATATCTATTCCATTGTTTTGTTTATTAGGCATGGATGGCACTATGCACTTATCTTCTTGGAATATACACATTTATATCATAAACTGGCATGAATAAAATAGTTAATGTGCTTGAATTTTAGTGGCTTTTCAAGATTCTAGATCTCTGAGCTTATGAATCAAAAATTCACAAAGTAGGGAAAGTTTAGAAATGAATTTCATAGCATAATTGTATTTTATAAGTACATATATTTAAATGTCTAAAGAGCTTCCAATTTGCCTATTTAAGGGAAGTTTGTCTCTTCTGGAGAAAGCAACAAATAATTTTCCCATTTCTCCATGTATCATTAAATGTGCCCATGACAAAGAAATTATGGAAAAGATAGTTCCTATTCATTTCACATAAATTATTTCTCCTGCCTTGTCAGCTAGAATCCAGGAGGAGATTGAACGTGTGATTGGCAGAAACCGGAGGCCTTGCATGCAGGACAGGAGCCGCATGCCCTACACAGATGCTGTGGTGCATGAGATCCAGAGATATGTTGACCTGGTTCCAATAAATATGCCCCATGAAGTGACTAAGGACATATGGTTCAGAGGATATTTTATTCCAAAGGTGAGAAGTATTTCCTCCATATTCATCCTTAAGAATCTTAGTCTGTCAATGATTACAGTAGAAGACTTACATATTCTCTGACCTCCTGACGATATGACACAATCATAACTCAGTCATCTCACTTTATGTCCACTGTTACATAACTTCTTGTTTGTTGACTGAATTTTCTAATGTAATAATGCTTAGGCTTTCATAGACTTTTTAGTGCATTGATAACTCTATCCTCTGCTTGTCCACTGGTGCAATCTGCTGTCCATTTCTATGCTTTTCAGGTCATGTGCTTTACTCTTAGTGATTAACCATGATCCTATGTTCTCCTCTTCTTTATTCCTAGGTGTCTCCTTTCTGTTTCAATAACTTTTAACATTTCCTAACCAACAGTCTCCTATCTCTTGCTTTCCTTGGGCTACTGATCCTGACAGAATGACCATGAATTCCAATGGGAAGTTTTTATTATATTTGCTAAGATCTAAAATTTTGATATCTTTTTGAAAAAAGCCAAAACATGTTCTAAATGTTGCACAATATTTCTGCTACCATGCGTGCCAAAATGCTTTTTCTAATCCTGATCCCTCTTCAAAGTTCAGCTCTCCACCATCTTCTTTCACTCAAATGTCCTAACATTCTGCCTGATAGAAATAATCAGAGCAGAAGGAAAACTCCTTCAGTTCCGTTCTTATAGATTACTTAGCAACATCCACACAATTCTTTTTATGGCCTCTTATTGTGAAAAATGAAGTTTCTTTTAATCTAAAGTAAGTCTTTTTAGCTGTGGCATAGCTCACTTCCATCTCACTTTTTAAAAGACCTTCCTAAAACAATAATTTTGTCTTGTATTTGTTGAATTTATGTTTGCTGGAGACCTAGGTTTGGCTTTTCTTTTTCTGAAAGTTTCTTTTTTTTAGATTTTTAATATTAAATTTTATGTATCTCTTCTTAAAAACCCAGTTTGTGTGATCATCTTTGCAATATGCTTAGTACTCTGCTTTATCCATTGTAGTAAGTATAAAAATACAGCTAGAAAACCTGGAAATGAGGTCTTTTCTCTAACATGTGAATATGTTTACTGACATGTAAATAGAGGTACTGATGTGTGATGTAACTTCTGTCCATTCCTTCTTTTTTCTTTTATTCATATGTGCATACAATGTTTGGGAAGGGGGGAGAAATGAAAGTTTCTTTATACTACCTCCATGACTCTAAATTTTTGGTATTTTTTCTCCTCTTTCTGATTTTTATTCCCACATGTCTAATTTAAGAGTTGTCTAGAGATATTGTAGAGTTCATATGGAGAATTCAGGGCTCTCCTCTCTGGCCCTTTCTTTGTGGAATTTATCCTGTTTGTATACTGCTTCTGTGTTGGCAGTTTAACTGAGTCTTTCTACTGGTACTTCTAGCTAGTGTTCCTGAGGTTTATAGCCGTGATTTATTTTGTCAATATTTTTCTGTCTGGTGCCTGCCCTCAAGATAAAGCCATGAAAATCTCAGTCAATACCATTGTCATTACATTAGAGTCTTCTGTATTGTAGTACTTCATGTTTTCAACATCAGTCTATTATTTGCATATATGGGATATTTTGCTGTCATTATATTTTTGTTAAAATTTTTTGTTTTCTTGCAGTGCTACAGATAGAACTCAAGGCCTTGCACATCTAGGCAAGTGCTCTGCTCTTGCTCTTTATCCCCAAACCTGTATGAGTATTCAAACCTGAGGCCTCCCTTTTGGAGTTTCAGTATGTCTACAGTGTACTAATCTTATTAAATTTACAAATTTAATCTTATTAAATCTTACTGATTTTATTAAAATTTTCTGTAGTCCCCAAGACTATTAATTCTATATAAAAGTTTTTTTCGGAACATTTTACTTTTTTAAGTTCTGTTTTTGTAGTTTATATTTGCTTATTATTATTTCTTTAAGTACATGGTTATATGAATAATATCTTATCATTAAAGTGATAATTCTAGCATGTAGTATATCATATGGCTTATTTTCATTTCTTTATGGGTCACATTTCTTTCTATTCCATTTCTACTGTTTTTTTTTTAATTGTATAGTGAGCATTTTGAATGATATTTTGTGTAGAGTCTGTTTTCCTGTTTTCTATAAGGTTATTGATTTTTATTTTGCCAGGCCATTAAACAACTAACAGATGTTTTTCATTTTGTTAGTGTTGGTGTATTCTTTTTTATTTTAGCTTAGATTCAATCTTGCATTTCGTGCATGGCATGATACTTAGTTTATGGTGGTTTATTTAGTCCAACAGTCTGGGATTTTGGCGTTGGCTGGTAATATCTGAGGTGCTGAGAAATATTTTCTGCCCTGGGTGGGTTGTAACTTCAGTACCTCCTGTCATTGCACATTTCTCATAGGTACCTTCAGATCTCAACTCCCAACCAGTCTTACTGTAATGGGCTTTGTGGAATTTCCTTCTGCATGCATGCCACCAAACCATAGCCATGGAGTCACAGAACACATTCTTGTACACCTCTAAGATTTCCCCCTTTTTAGGTTCCTATGCTCTTATACTCTGCCTTATAACTCTAGATTCTAAATATTGATGTCTCTTTCCAAATCTCAAAGTGAATGTCACTTTTCTTGGCCCTTAACAACTTGCACTGTGAGAGGACAGTATTAGAAATCCAGGTTGAAATGGGGTCTAACTTCTGTGCAGTAAGAATCACAATTCAGGATTTCACTTGTTCTTGTTACTAGGTTTACCTCTGTTCAGTGTGACAACTACTTCAAAATAGTTGTACTACTACAGCCAGGAGAAATGTTTTGTTACAAATTAACTTTATGTGGATCCTGCTCAGGGGCTGACCACAGAATTTTCCTGTACCTCATATTAGGCAAGCTCTGAGTTCACCCAGGCCAGCACAGGAATCACTGGTGAAGCTGTGCTACAGTAGAAGAAGATCAGGAGGGACTGAAACTTAAGTTTCACTTCCATGTGTGGACATAGGAATGGCATTTTTAAATTTGACTGATGGATTTTTTGTAATGAGATTTACATAATATATTTGAAGGGGCCATCATTGTTCCAGCAAACATCAAGGCAGATTTGAATTTTAAATTGACCTCTGCCAAATAGTGAAAGTGTGATCACAGGGTAGATCAGAAAGCATTGCTAATGATTTCATTACTATCACAATAGTAACAAACCACTGTCAACTGAGACGATTAACATGTGATAATCTCTGTGTAAAAAGAATTTTTGGCAGGACTTTCAGCTTGGTAGTATGGCTGATGTTTAGGATGCAGAAGTTCCTGGTTAAATCAGTAGTACCAAAAAAGTATTTCTTGTACTATTTATTTTAACATTTATAATAACCTAATGCAAATATGTTTACATTTTCCTAGTGATGTAAATGAAATACTGAAATGTTAAACAACTTACCATATGCCTGAGCTTAATTTGATAAAAAGGAAGATTCCATAGATTCTAAAAACTAGACCTTAGCTCCGTGTGTTCCACCATGCCTCTGAGTTTAGGAAAAGCCTACACATTGTACATGCTCTCTCCTTTCCACCAGTATCTTATAATTCATTGGAAGAGCAATAAAAGGAGAATTTTACCCCATCTCTTCATAGTAAAAAAACCCTGATGGTTATTCAGGAAAATTACCTATGAGCTGTTCTTTTCTTAAAAAGGCCTTCTACTTGGTCTAAAATGTATGAACTGGAGGTTTTCTGCAAAGTAAGTGGTGGTGTCAGACTACAAACTGGGTGAACAAAGCTTTGCTGTCAATGAAAGTACCTTGGACTGAGTTTCATATGAGTTAAGACTTGCTAGACTTGGGCATTAGTATGCTCTGTAACATTGACCAAATAAATTCTCCTTTTTGTGCTTCAATTGCCTCATATACAAAAAAATACTAGTAGCTGATGTATGCTTATTTTTTTCAAGTTCCATGACATCATTTATAAACTGGTTTATTTGTTTCTTTTATATCAGGGCACAGACATATTAACATCTCTGTCTTCTGTGCTGTATGATGAAAAAGAGTTTCCCAACCCTGAGAAGTTTGACCCCAGCCACTTTCTGGATAAAAATGGCAACTTTAAGAAGAGTGACTACTTCATGCCATTTTCAGCAGGCAAGCAGCATTGTTTGCATATGGGTGCCAGGGATCAAATGAGATGAGCAAGGGCTTTGCTTGGTGTTTTTGTTGGGTTGGGTGAATTGCTATTTCTATGAGGACAGAGGCACAACTCAAAGTGTCCAGAATATTTCCTATTTGACTATATGTTCCTTCTCATTCTCCTTCTTGATCTTGAACTAAGATTGTTATGAGCTCTTCCTAAGGTTCAGATTTGCCAAGGCTTTTCTCAGCTATCTTGGTACCTTGAAAAACTGGTTAACTTAAATTTATTGAGCACTTTATTTGGCATTTTATCACATGGTCAGATCCCAAGACACAAACATGTATATGAAGCAGATCTTCCTTCTAAGAGATAGGAAGACAAATTAATAGGCAATGAAACTGAAGTGTTATGAATGCCAAGCTGGAGCCTGTTGTGAGAACTCATAGAGATGAATTCCTATCTCTGGTCTTTTTGGGGTAGGGACAGTTTAATTGGAAGATAAGGGAAATTTTCCTGCAGAAAGTATCATGAGAGTATTTTCCTTCAATTTTGATGGTATTGGAAAGAAATAGGTTTTACCCTCCAAAATGTTAAAAAGAAAGTTAAATGAACACACAGTTTTCAGGATGAGAACAGGACAAGAGAAGTAAAGATACTTGATAAATTATTTAGGACAATCATCAGCATGAAAATGTTACTACTTCAGGATTGAAGATACAGGGAAAGAGGGGTGCAACTGGAATCCCAATAGACCTAAGCTTAGGAACAGTGGATGCTTTAATTGGAAAAGCATGTGTCAGTAGAGGAGTACAACCACTGTTCAAGGTGTGACCTGGCTGTATGAGTAGAAGCAATAACTACTCTTGAGTTTTCATCACCTAGTTCTCTGATTTCTTTCAGAAGCCTGAAGGGCACTAGCTTTTCAGTCAGTGAAGTTCATAGAAGTAAGTTTTCTGTGGATTAGTAGGTTTAAGGAGAAAACAAAAACATATCAGATCTGTAAAGAGGGGTAAAGAATACTTGTCAGGTTTCAAAGGAGAAGCAGGAGGAAGTGTGGATGGTAAAAGTCCTTTTCCACAGAAGTCACTGAAATGGGTCCAAAAAAAGAGGTTTGTTCCGAAATATCTAAGGCAATGTGTACTTTGGTATTGTTCCAAAATTATGTGCAATGTCCAGGGATGGTCTCAGTCACCCCCTGCTGTCCTACCACACATCTTCTTTCCTGTGCTTCACAGTCCATTACCACATGAAATTTCTCATTATTTCACACGTCATGCAGGCTTCCTTTGTCATGGCACTATAAGTATCAGTACAAGAGTCAAGGGTTAACCTTCAAAAATTACATTCCAGGCCTTGAGGTAGAAAAGTAATTTAAACTTCATGTGAAATGTACTACATTAGCAGGATTAGAGAATATTATGATAAACAAATAAGGGAGTTAATTTTATACTGCAGCATATCCAAGAATTATGCATAGAATAAGTTTTATCTGAGATGAATATAAAACTATATGGAGAATAACAGGCAGAGCAGAATGGAAGACTATTCCAGTTAGAGGAGTGACTGAAATCTGAGATAATGCTGGAATTTTTCAATCTGTTTGAGGATTGGTGTATAATTGCTAATGTCTTGGGGGTGGAGGGCCTGGGTAGAAGGAGCAGGAAGAAATTATATTTGAAGAAATGTTTGTGGCCTTGTTGTAATGTTTATTTTATATCCAGCAACCATCGCTTTGCAATGATTTTTAAGCAGGTTTGTGAGAAGATTGAGATTATCCCTAAGATACTGATTAGGGAAAATAGTCTAATGATATCTGTGTCACTTTGTGAATCATGTTAATTGGAAAAGAACAGCACATGTGTATGTGTGCATATGCTTACATAAACTGGTTCCTACAAAGCCTCGGCACAGCAGTTTCAATATGATTGCATAGAAATCACTTTTTATGTAGCAGGCTTAAAGAAATTTATGGTAAAACAGCAAGAAAACTAGTTTTGTACAAATACAGAAGAAAGCATACATTACTTAGTCATTCATTAATACGTTTACTAGTTCTATGTTAACTTAAGTCTCCATGTATGCTAACTTGTAATCAGAATTAAATTACTAACCTATTTGTATGTCATTTTTAGGAAAAAGAGTCTGTGTTGGAGAGGGTCTGGCCCGCATGGAGCTGTTTTTAGTCCTGACCAACATTTTACAGAATTTTACATTGAAATCTCTGGTTGATCCAAAGGAAATTGATACCTCCCCCAGTCTGTCTGGTTTTATCACTGTACCCCCCTCCTTTGAGTTATCTTTTATTCCAGTCTGAATAAATGGTAGGTTGCCAGACTACTGATTGAGACCTTGCAGCCTCAACAGAGCTAGAAGATATTCTCTGGCCTGTGTACCAGGCATTCTGCACATTTTCATGTCATCCTTAAGCTCTGCTCCTTATAATTGCCCCATTCTTTAAGATCTAGTGCAACTTTGCCTTCATGACTGAAATCTCACTGCTCCATCTCTAATAAAGTTGCTTTAGTAATACAATACTGAGATGATAAACTACATCTTCATCTGTAGTATGTATCATATGGGAAGTGCATTATAAATTTAGTATTTTGTTTTGGTTAAAATTATCAATCAGAAATTATTCAAGCACTTTAAAATGTGTTTAAAATAAAATGTGAAATTGACTCTTCTCAGTCCTATATAACTCTCTATATGCATAATCACTTGACAGTTTTCATGCATACAATTTTTCTTTTCCTAATGATCTATTAAAATAAAATCATGCATAGATGCATAAGTTCTATGTACATCTTCATGCATATATATGTGCATGCTAAGTGTATGTGTGTTTATGTGTATATACACAGGGAAAAAACAGGAGAATATTATAGCTACAGGGAATAGTGAAATAAAACTTTATTGGCAAGTTTTTGTGGTGATACCCTACACTTCCTTTTCCAGTGTTGAATGTACACACTTGCAGACATACACAGAAATAGACATATTAAGACAAAGAGAGGGAAATATTTATATATGTTTATTTTTTATCATGCACATACAGAAATGGGTATCTGTATATATGGGTTGCAAGATAACTGTGATTTAGGGGTGATGTTTATATACTAATTTTTCATAGATATTTTTATAAACATTATAAGGAATTTTGCCATATAATACTTCATTGTTTCCATATTTTTAAAAATTATTGCTGGATTTAAATTTATTTCCCTATTCAATGAAAAGTAGATTATTGTTCAACCATTAAAATACAAATACATATATGTTTTACTTCTTTTGTACTATTTCTTCAGGATGGTCTCCTAGTGTGGAGTGGCTGCACTGTAGTGTATATGGAACTTTATTTTTCAGATATAGTGACAAATAGTGCATTAAATATTATGTGTTTACTTTTCTGTTACAAGTGGTATTAAGGACTGTTTGACCTAATCCTTATAAACACTGAAGATTGAATTCTTTTGTATTCAATTTTATTTCTGTTGCCTTTTACAGATTTTTCACTTAGAAAATCCTATCATATGCAAAAAAATCTAGTTGAAGTGACCAGAAATTTCTAGAAATATCATCTACATCTATGTTTTTATCTTTTCTCTCTGCCCCTATTTCTATTGCTTACTATACACACATATACAAGCTTGCATACTTGAATTACTGCACTCAAATGTCCATTGGGAGCATCCATAAGTGTCAGATATAAGGCTTTGTGTAAAAAAATGTAATGGAATGTTAGATAAATTCATATTTCAAAGCCTGATGTTTGGTATAATTTTATCCTTGAAGGGATTGCTGATTTGAAATCAGGAGCAGAGAGACTGAAAGGCTGACTATGAAATGTCATATAGCAACAAAAAGTATCAATAGGGTGCTTCATGACTGACACAGCTCTGAACTCTAAAACTAACCCAGTGAAGGGCTAAATTGTTCCCAAACTGCAGTGTCTTAAATTGCATAAAATCAACTTGATGAGTTTTTTTTAGATCATTCACTTTATTTATAATGAGATGAGTGTCTTTACTCTTTCTTTTCATCCCATGAAACTCATGCCCAGTCCATTCTTTATATTGAAATAAAAAATGACAGCATAGCAAAACTTAAGAGAATGGCAAAAAGTAGTTCTTAAACGTTTATGCTAATAAATAGCTTTTACAGATATAATAACAAAGGATTTTTAATAAATACCATTGCATCCTAACAGCCTAGTACTGGCAGAGAAACATAAATGCAAATTAAGAGAAGGAAAGGGATAGCAAATATCAGAGCAGAAAGAAATGATACAGAGATTAAGTATACAAATTATTAACGAAACAACTCTTGTCTTGAAAAGAGAAGCAAAATCCAAAAACCTTGCATATAGACCTTAGCATCATATCTGAAACTTTGAAATTACTATAAGTCAACATAGAGGAAACACTTCAATATTTAAGTACAGGCAGTGCCTTTCTGAACTCCAGCAGTTCATGAATTCATAGCAAAAATAAATGAGATTTTGTCTGATCCAAAAGTTTCTGCACAGCAGAAGAAACAATAGAGTGAAGAGACAGGGTAAAAAACTTTACAATATCTACTCATATGACCTTTATTTTGGGAATGAATGTTTAAATTCTATAGTGAATTCAATTATTTGATACAAAGAATAAATGAATCCATCAGTAAAAGTTGAAATGAATCAAATAGAAAGTTTTTAAATGAAGAAGAATGAATGGCCAATAAGTACATGGAAAAAATTCACATCTTTTCCATCAGAAAAATACAAATCAAAATTATATTGAGATTCTATCTCATCCCAGAATGGGTATCATCAATAAAACAAAAAACAACAAAAGTTCATTAGATTGCTTGGGAGTGCCAAGAAGGAACCCTTATACACTGTTGGGTGGGTTCGTTATTTAGTTTACCTGTTACAGAAATAGTATGAAGTTTCCTCAGAAATTTAAAAGTTGAAAGTTCAATATAATCCAGCTATACTGTTAACTGGGTTACACCCCAAATAATCAAAGACATTTACTGTAAAAATATTTGCATACCAATGTTTTTGCTGGAATGCTTACAAAATCCAAATCACGAAATTAGCTTAAGTGCCTTAAACTGGGATAAAGAAAGCTTAGTATATGCACAGAATGGTTTTTATTAAGTCACAGAGTAGAACAAAATCATGTCACTTGCAGGAAAATGGATGTATCCTGAAATCATTTCGTTAAACAATTTAACAAAACCAGACTCTCAGCAAGACAAGTATTCCTGTATGGTATTAAGTGAAATGTAGGGGGAAAAGACACATGACAGTAAAATTGAGGTATTAGAGATGTGGAAGGATGAAAGGGAAGTTGGGAGATCAGATAAAAGTGTAATAAAGAAAATGATCAATGTGCATTATATGCATGTATAGAAATGTCCAAATGAAATTCATTAATTTGTATCATTAACACATGCTAATAAAAATAAAAAAGCAGACCTTTAGGTGAACTGGAGTGAATTCAATATGATATATTAGATACATTGTAAGAATCTTTGTAAATGCTACAATGTGCCCCTACCCAGCACAACAATAATAATAATAATAAAGAAAATTTAATAATAATCATGAAACTAAAAAATAAAGTACTTGTGTTCAGATGATAAAAACGAAAGTACAGGTGGAAAAAATATGACATCGAACAATGTATGACAGAAATAAAAATGATCATTACAGACTACTATGAAAATCTATGCCTACCCATATAAGGGAAAACCTAGAAAAACTGGATCTATTTCTAGACATATATAAACTGTGAAAACCGAACTTTTAAGACATAAAAAAGTAGACCAAAAAACAACAAAATAAATTCAGTAGTACAAGATTTCTCAACAAGTAAAAATGTATGACCAGATGGTTTCATTACTAAAACTGGCAATAATTTGAAGAAGAAGTAATAATAGTTTGTCTTGAGGTGCCACAGTTCCTGACTTTAAACTATACTACAGACACATAGTACTAAAACAAAATGGTACTGGCAAAAAAAAGGAATACTAATGGAACAGAATAGAAGACACAAATATGAATCCACACAGCTATGTCCAACTGATTTTTAAAAAATGCTTCCAAAACATACAATGGAGAAATAAATTCATCAGTAAGTGTTGTTGAAAAGAACAGGACATTGGCATGAAGAAAACTGAAACTATATCCGTGTCTTTTAACCTGTACAAATATCAACTCAAGTGGATTAAGAACCTTATTATAAGACCAGAAACTGTGATGCAAGTGCCAGAAAAATTAGGGAGTACGTTGGAACATATAAGCATAAGCAATAATTTCCCAAATAGAACTCTAATGGTCACAAGAAGAGAAAGGATTAGCAAAAAGACAATGAAATTAAAAAGCTCTACACAAATGGTCACCCAATTGAAGATGCAGTTATGGACTGGGAGAAAAATCTTTACCAGCATACATCTGTCAAGGGATTAACAATCAGTGGAATAGAGGCCTAGTACAAATACAATCAATAGTATATATTCATGAAACTATATAAAGAGCATGTATCCAAAGTGAGACTGATAGATGAGACCAATGGAGGAGACAAGAGAATATGGAGCTATCATATAAGACAGTGAATATGGTGAAAATATTATGTAGTCATATATGAATATGGAAAAATGAGACCTTTTGAAACTATTCTAATAATGGGGTAGGGAGGACAAGGGAGAATGTTGAACAGGGTTAATTTAACTAAATATGCTGTAAGCACTTTTATAAATGTCACAAAGTACATCTAATAAAACACTGAAATGATAGTTAAAAATTTAAAATAAAACAATTTGTCTCAACAAATTCCCAACAGTTGAGGGGGAGGAGCACTTCCAAATTCATTCTAAAACTCAGTATTACCCAGGTACAAAACCAAATTAAGAACATTTCAAAAAACTACAAGGGTATATTGCTGATGAACTTGCCTACAAGAAATCTCAATAACACAGAAGCAAATGGAATTCCTAAGCCCCTGTCTGACTCCTCCTACTAAACTACTCTAACCTCTCTCTAAATCTTACCAGTATCATTCCACAGGTAGTGTGCCTGTTATGATCTTTATGTAAGTGAAACCACACTTGCATATATACATGCATACATATGTAAGCACATATATAATACACACATAGATACACACAAATATATATATGGATAGATAGAAAGATAGATAGATATTTAGCATTTGGCTTTGTGTTTGTAAGATTCATTCATATTTTTGTGAATAACAAGAGATGTTTTCTGAACAGTTATCTTTATAAATATTCTATAATTTAGTTTGTGGACATGTTTTGCTCCTA